TGAGCTAAGTATTTTATAAGGCATGGGATGGGCTTCTTTTCTCTAGAACTCAGAAGGTGGGGGTTAAAGAGATCTTACCACTGGATAACAGACTGCAGCATGGCAACACCCGGCATCTGGCAACATCTTCACTTAGCAATAGTTTCCTAGCACCAACACTTCAACAGCTCCACCTGGTAATACCACCCTGGCAGCATCCCACTATTCTAGAAATACCACCTTGAGTCACCACACATAAATCTAGCCTCTAGCCATTTAATCAAATTTTCTTCCCTCTGATTTTAATGACCTTACTTGGTGAGGTTCTGCCCAGTTATTATAAAGAGATGATGATAATAGTAACTGCAAAACTTTTAAAGTACTTAACTACATACCAAGCACCATCCTAAACACCCCCTCTTAACCTTCACACCAGCTTTATGGGAGAGGTACAGTTAAACTGAGGCTCAAAGAGATTCAGTAACTTGTCCAAGAGTAAACTGGCAAAGAGTAATGGTTGAGCTGGGCTATAAGCCAGGTAATCTGTCTCATGGATCTTTGCATTTAATTCTGCTGCCCTGCCTCCCAAGAAGCTCAGGGTACCCAGTGGCCTCTCCTAGGGGCCCTCAAGAGAATTTGCTATGGCATAGGAAGAATCTGCACAGACAGGTGAAGAGCAATAAGGGGGTGCTCTGAACTTCATTTGCCTGAAGCCGTGAGGCTGGGCTAGGCCTAGAGAAAGTCAAAGATGACCGGGAGGGTGACCCCACTGCAGAGTGGGGAACTGTCTGCTCCTCAAGGACAAGCCCTTTGTTCTCATTGCTGTCCTAGATGGAAGGGTTGGTGTCAAAAAGAATGGACCCAGGTTCTGCTCCATGCTGCTGAGGCTAGTAGAAATGGTGAGGGTGTCTTCTGCTCACAATGGACTGGTGTCTCAGCAAAGCCCTTGGGCTTCCGGCCTGGAGGTATGGCAGTAAGAAAGTAGGAGGGGGGCCTCCCTGGTGTTGCAAGGGGTTAAGATACAACCTATGAAGCTATCCACAGCCTCTGCAGCACAAGTTCGATCCCCAGCCAGGGAGCTATCCACATGGCGCAGCAGACCTCTCCTGACTTGCCCGCTGCTCCCCTCAGCAGTGTATTTCAGTCAATCCACCTATTCTGTTCCCCACTCTGTCTCTGGTGAATCCTCTCACCCCCCCACCTCTGGCCTGTACCCCAGTTCTTGTATGCATAAATAAGTAAATCTTTAAAAAAAGAAGAAAGTAGGAGGAAGGAAAAAGAGTGGTGAAGAGGGTCGATGGAGACATGTGGTCAGGACTGTATGCACCAGAAGGACCACATATCTAAGTGACAAGTCTACAACCAAACTCATCATCAGAACATGAGACTTGATTCTGCGCATATCACACAGGTCCATGCTTCCCTTCTCTGATCTTCAGGTTCATCATATATATAATGGGAGTTATAAAAATTACCCTCCCAGTGGTATTGTGAGGAGTAAATGACATGATGTATACCATTGACCCTTGAACAGGAGGTTGAATTATGTGAGTACTTACATGAGGATTTCCTATAAACAGACAATACAAACCACAGCATGGTGCGGCAGACATTTATTGTGTATAAGTACTGTAAGTATAAGTATAAGCACTGTAAGTATAAGTACTATAAGTATAAGTATATTACTTACTATAAGTAAGTATAAGTATAAGTACTGTAAGTATAAGTACTGTAAGTATAAGTATATTACTTACTTACTGTAAGTAAGTATAAGTACTGTAAGTATAAGTACTGTAAGTGTAAGTACTGTGTGTGTAAATGTGTAAGTACTGTAAATGTGTTTTCCCTTCCTTATGACTGTCTTAATATCACTTTCTCTACCTTACTTTATTGTAAGGAGACAGTATATGAAACATATACAAAACATGTTAACTGTTTATGTTACCGGTAAGGCTTTCAGTCAATAGTAGGCTATTAGTAGTTTTGGGGGAGTCAACATACTTGGAATTTGCACTGTGAAGGGAATGGGGCATCAGCACCCCTTACCTCTGAGTCATTCAACTTTATAGAACCCTTAGCACAGTGCTAACCAGCATACAATGAGTGCTCAATAATTGGAAGCAGTTGTGTTAGCAGTGTGCTGATTGGCTAATGGTAAATGAGTGTCTCTAGTGGTGTGGTGTGGGTCTCCATACTGATCAAGAGTGTGGATGGTGGAGTTGAAGTCACAGGGAGCAGCCGGGACCTAAACTTAGAGAGAGAGAAAACAGTGGGCAATAGAACCAGCGTTCAGAATAATTTTGACAGGCCGGAATAAGCAAGATGACACTGTCCCCCTGTAAGCCAAGACATTCCACAAAACAGGAGCCTTCCTGGTGGTGCAACAGGTTAAGTCTCAGCACTATGAAGCTATACACAGCCACTGCAGCACAAGTTCGATCCCCAGCCAGATAGGTGACCCACATGGCGCAGCAGACCTCTCCTGACTCGCCCGCAGCTCCCCTCAGCAGTATACTTTGGTGGATCTGCCTGTTTTGCACCCCACTCTGTCTCTGGTGAATCCTCTCACTCCCACACCTCTGGCCTGCACCCCAGCTCTTGTATGCATAAATAAAAATAAATCTTAAAAAATATATATCCCACAAAGCATAGGATGGGGGGAACTGACTTGACCCTAGCTCCAGTGAAAAGAATCTGAATGATTTATTTGACCACAACCTGATGGGAACTAGTCATGGGAGAGAAAGGGTCTGAAGCCCAACAGTCTTAGGCTGCATTAACAATGTGTCCTGTCCAGACTGGGGGAAATAATAGGCCTATTGTGCTGGCTTGGTCAGGCCATATCTGGAATCTTGCACAGCTACACTGATGCTTTGGAATCAGGCCAGGAGGGAGACTGACCAGTCCAGCCTCAGCTTGCAGGCATTTGTGCTAAGCATTTCCTGTGTATTTTCTTGTTTCATACCCCAAACAACCCTATCAGGTGGTCACTATTAATATCCCTACTTTGTATGCTTAAAGAAAGAGATTAAGTGGGTTGCCGGGATCAGCCACACAACTAGTAAATGGAGGCGCCTGGGGCTTTTCCAAATGGGCTCCTCTTGTGCTTGTACCTGGGGAAGACTGAGCATGCATCACTGAACACATATTTATTAGGTTCCTGCCATGAATCAGGGCCCAAGCTAGTCAGTGGGGACATACAGTGAAAAGGCTGTGGTTCCTACTTCCCAGAAGCTCATGGTCTGGTGGGGGATCCAAATCATTTGTGATTCTACAGGGGTGAAGATTTTTAAGACTGAAAGGAACAGTAGAGTCCACCTCAGTCTACTCAAACTCAAAGATGGAAAGAGACAGAGTGGTGTCATGCAGCTTTGGCGTAGTCGTGGGGGCCAACCCGTGCCCTTTTCACTGTATTTAATTGCTTCACTTTGGCTATCCTCTGCTCAGCAGGGGCCAAGAGCTGTGTGCCAAGATGGGATCTACTCGGGCACACAAGGAAGCTTGATGTGGCTATGATGCCAGGGCAGCCAGACTTATCTCTCCTCTTGGTAGTGAGAGATTGTAAGAAAGAAAAAGGAGCCTGAGATTGAGCAACCACAGAGACTGGGGTGAATGACCTTTCACTGATCAGAGTGAACTTCACCCCACCTGACTTCATGAATGTCCAGGAAGCCTGGGGTGAAGTTGGCATAAGGGATGCAGAGATACTAGAAAAGAATGTTCTCTGGCATTTGTGCGAATGGCCTGTGTTCTAGACTGTCTGCTCCATCACCTTTCAGAGACCAGATTACTCAGTGCACTCCTTCCCATCTTTCCTTGATTATTTCAGCACAGAGTGCCACACAGGCTCCTTTTTTTTTTTTAAGATTAATTTATTTATGCATGCAATAGCTGAGGTACAGGTCAGAGATGCCGAGGGTGAGAGGACTCACCAGAGACAGAGCAGGGAACAGAACAGGCAGACTGACTGAAATACACTGCTGAGGGGAGCAGCGGGTGAGACAGGAGAGGTCTGCTGCACCATGTGGGTTGCTCCCTGGCCTGTGGGGGATCGCACTCATGCTGCAGAGGCTGCGGATTGCTTCATAGTGCAGTGCATAACCCCTTGCGCCACCAGGGAGGACCACCAGGGAGGCCCCCAGGGCTTCTTGTTGGGGAGATACATGCACCCCGATCAGCCTTCTGGGAGTTTTTGCTGGCGGCGCAGAAGAACGCAGTTAAGAGGGAGGCTCTGGAATTGGATGAAACCTCCCAGGCTTGGTTCTGCCACATAACAGCTGTTTCCCTTCTTTGGGTCTCCTTTTCCTCAGCTGTGAAATGGGGATAATAATAGCACCACCCTCACACAGCGGTTGTGAGGAAGCCACCATAAAAGGCTGTGTCTATCAGACAAGGGCTGTGTCTGCTCTGCCACTTGGTTGCCTCCCTGCTGGCAGGCACAGCCACTGCCTTGTGGCCTTCTCCCCCAGGGCTGAGGGCCCCAAAGATGCCCATGGCAAGAAGAGGATGCTGTTGGCCTTAGTGCGAAAAGTGCCAGCGCTACCTCTTTCAGGTTTGGAGAAGGAGATCTGCCTGACCCCAGATTTTAAAGGCAGCAGTGGGCTTCTGAGCCGCACCTTTCCAAGGCCTGGGAATCAGTAGTCGTGGAGTGTAGAGCCCACTAGGAAGAACCGGGTCTTTCTGGGGGGGATCTCAAGGGAGGCGCTGTCGGCCTTTGGGCACAGTTTCCTCGTGCGAATAAGGTGAGTCTCCACGTCTCTCCCTGCTGGCGAGACCGGGGCCCGACAGGGATCTCCGGCTCTGACCCTGCAGGGCGGGGCGAGTGGGAGGCGAGGGAGGAGGTTCTACCGAGGGGCCTGGCTTAGATCCTGGTCTGGCTGAACCTTAAAGAGGCGCGAGCCGGCATGCTAGCGAGTGCGTCCTGCCGGCGGCCGGGTTTACCAGGACACACACGACCACGGTGGCGGGCGGCGGCGGCTACTACCACGCGAGCCGGGCAGCGCTGAGGCCCGCGGAGCAGAGTTGCGTCCCGGGGTCCGGGTCCCTGGCGGCGTGGCCCGCGGGTCATGGCCAAAGGACAGGGCGCCGAGAGCGGGTCCGCGACTGGACTGTTGCCCACCGGTGTCCTCCAAGCCGGTGAACACCCGGCCCAAGTGAAGGTGAGGCCACGGCACCCCAGTGGCGGGCGTGTGGTGGGGGACAGGCAGCGAGGGGGTCCTCCAGGGTAGGCCTGGTCCTGGGGCGCCTTGGCCTTGGCGTGACCGGACCGGAGAGCCCAGGGCAGGAGCGGGCCCGCGAGTAGTCCGGGGCCCGGGTGATGAAGAGGGATTCGAGGCGCCCCCTTTCTGGGCCCAGCCCTGCGCTGCCTCTGGGCGAGCAGCCTCTCCACGTGGTGGGTGCCGGGCTCGCCGGTGGGGTTTCCGTTTGTCAGTGACATATAGAGTTTAGGTTTTTTCGCCCTGGAAGCCTGGAAATCCCCCTTGGTTTCCCATCCCTCAACTCCCAGCCCCCACTGCCTTACACCTACATTGTCCCCTCCACTCGGCTGGGGGGTCCGCTCAAGTTCATTCATCAGAACAAGGGCTCCGCTCTTAAAGCAGCCGCGCGCGCTTTTTGTGTGAGCGCCGAGTCAGCTCTCAGGCGGGGTGTGCGTGTCTTCCTCACCCCTGCGCCGTCTCCAGCTCTCCGGACATACTGAAACACCCAAAGAAATCCCGCAGCTCCGGGGGGTGATCCCAGGCAATAGATACCTGACTCTGGGGTTGCTGCCTTTCCTTTTAATTTTATTAACTGATCCTTGGCAGGAGTATGGCGAGCGAGCTATTACGCTGCTACTATGTTTGAGTAATCTCTTCTTTCCCTGGGCAACCTTAACTCTCCCTGGTGCCCCACCCAGAGGGGGCTCAGCCCTGCACCTAGAGCCCTTTCCTCCCCTCTCCAAGCTCCCCTAGGAGCTGGGGAGGAGGGCAGCGGGAGGGAGGGTAGGACAGCGCCTAGGTTTGCCTGAAGCTCTGACTGCCTCCTGGGGCCTGGGAGCTCTGGGAAGAAGTAGGAGCAGCTGGGCTGGGCCTCTCAGCTCTCCAGAGCCCTCACCTGGTAGGCAGGTATCTCCTGGCCTCTGAACGAGGGTGGGAGCCAGGGCTGGGCTTAGGCAGCTATTGGCAGCAAGAGGATTTTCAGGTTGTAGCAGTTGGTACCAGGTGGAGACAGGTCCACTGCTGGAGCATGCTCCCACTTCATCTTGGAAAGGAGTGTGACTGAGGCCTTCAGGGGAGTTTTTTAGGTGTAGTGATCTGATAGGTTTATTCAGAAACTGGGGGCATAGGGTGGGCTACATGGTTTTAGGCACAAATTCCTCAATATGGATTCCCCTTTTCCGGGTATATAAGAACAGAGAATACCTTTCTTTTCTTGTGGGAAGTGGGATCTCTCTGGATGGGAAAAGGGCAAAGCAGATTTGTTCTGTCTGGCAGAGCTGGTTGGGGGATGGTTCTGCCTCTGGAACCTTCTAGGATGGAAGCCAGAATGTTGAATCTATTGTCATCCTTTCCTCCTCACAGAAAGAGCCAAAGAAGAAACAGCAGTTGTCCATTTGCAACAAGCTTTGCTATGCAGTTGGGGGGGCACCCTACCAGGTGACAGGCTGTGCCCTGGGGTTCTTCCTGCAGATCTACCTGTTGGATGTGGCTCAGGTGAGTGGGCTGAGCTGCCAAAGCTCCTCTAACATCCCAAGGTGGGAAAGACTAGGATGCCCTGGTAGCGTCATTCAGTTTTCCCCATCTGTGAAATGGGACCAGGAACCTCTACTTGCTGCCTCTCAGGTTACAGTCACTGAGAAACAGGTTTTGGAAAGTATCTGGAAAGGGAGTCTGTCTGCCCCACTGTTCTTAACTAGCAAGGTCAGGCAACTCCTCCTTGCCTGGCAAAAGCAACAGAGCCCGCTGGTGACGCTGTTCTTAGAAGAGACTAACACACCATGTCCCTGGCTGGACAACAGTCAGCTGGCTTGGCTCAGGGTTTAGCGGATGTTGCCAGACTTGTGGACGAGGAGCATCCCACCTTCTCCCGAGCCGCAGAGGCATGTTAGTGGGCAGAAGGGTCCTCAAGTGCTGGGCTAGGTTAGGTTGCCCCAGTACACAGAGTCTTTGGGAGCAGTACTTAGGGTGAAGCAGGGTTCCTCTGTGCTTTGAAAAGGCTTGGCTAGCAGCCTGGCATCCTGAGAATTCACCTTGTCTGAATGGAAGAGTGGGAGGCTGAACAGCCCTGGCTGGCATACTGGCTGTCTTTTTCATGTAGCATCTGACTTTACAAGCAAGGCATCTTGGTTGTATCCATTTATAGGTGGGAACACTGATCCCCAGAAAAGACAAATAACTGCATTCAGCTAGTTTTTGAGCAGCTCCCATGAGCTGGACCCGGAGTGGGGTGCAAATATGAGGAAACTGCAATCCAAGTGTAAAGCTGTGAGTGTTATGGTCCAGAAAGACCAGGGAGACTGCAGTGTGGGAGAAGCTCTCAGCTTCCCAGAGCAATAACAATAGCAGTGCCTCGGACCTCCCCAGTGGCGCAGCGGTTGAGCGCTGGGTTGCGAAGCTGCCCGCAGCCTCTGCAGCACCTGTTCGATCCCTGGCTGCTCCCCAGCTGCTCCCCGGCCACCGGAGGAGGATCCCACATGGCGCGCAGACCTCTCCTGCCGCCCGCTGCTCCCCTCAGCAGTGTACTTCGGTCCTTCTGCCTGCTCTGCTCCCCGCTCTGGCTCTGGTGAATTCTCTCACCCTCCCGTGCTTCTGACTGTACCCAGTGCTTGAATAAATAAATAAAATAAATAAATAAATTAAATGAAAATTAAAATCTAACCCCCCCCAAAAAAAAACCCCCAATAGTAGTGCCTCAATGGATAAGGAAGAGTCCATGAAGCGGTATATTTAGACTAGACGCTTTGGGGAAGGGGATGACTTGAGTGGGTAGTGGCAGATCATTTTTTAAAAGCATCTATGGGATCCTTTTACTACATCCAAAAGAGAATCTCACCCTGTAAGACAGGAATCATAACTCCCATTATACCGATGAGGAAATTGGGGTATGCTGTGGCCACTCAGAAAATGCTGCTTCTGATGTTGGGGGTGGGAGGATGTGAGGCAAGAAAATTATTTTGGATTCATTCTAGTTGATGGGGGTGTGGAGAAGGGCAGTGGATGGAGGGCCTTAAGGGGACAGATCTGGGAAAAATTCTAAGGGGGCACACAGTGCTGCTATTGAGAACTGTTAATTGTCTTTATTAAAAAGGCAGGTGAAGATGCTTATGGTCTGGGTGGGAGTAGTACAGTGTCCCAAGGACCTAGCTGAGGCAGGGAAGGAGTCCCTGCTTTTGCCTACCAGTGAGGGTTGAGGTGGTAGAAGGTTGAGGGGTCATCTTTTGCCTCTTCCCCATTCCAGGTAAGCCCTTTATCTGCCTCCATCATCCTATTTGTGGGCCGAGCTTGGGATGCCTTCACGGACCCCCTGGTGGGCTTCTGCATTAGCAAATCTTCTTGGACCCGCTTGGGCCGCCTCATGCCCTGGTGAGTAGAAGCAACTCCTTCAAGGTGGCAAAAGGCAAGACTTTCGGTAGATCGACCCTTTGGTCCATCCATCTGGCTTGTCACAGGCTGGAGGGTGAGAAGAAATGACACAAAAATGCAAGTGTTGAAGCCCAAACTTGAGGCCTCAACTGCCCCATGCATGGGAACTAGGATGCCCTGCTAGTTCATTCCCAGGCTGACCAAATTGCTAAACTGAGTAGCTTCGCCTGGTCCAGGCCCTCTTGCTGCCCAAAGTCCATTTCTGTCAAAGAAGATGGAATTCTGACTTCTCCCAATCACTTCCCATAATGGCAGAGGTAGTACAGCATAATGGTTGAGAAGTTACACTCAGGGGCCAGCCTACCTGTGTCTGAATCCCTGACTCACCACATAGAGCTGTGCAATCTTGGGCAAGTCACTTAACATCTCTGAGCCTCAAGTTTTCTTCATCTGCTAGATGGGGATAATAGTTATGCCTATCTCATGGGATTGTGGTGAGGATAAAGTATTTCATTATAGGCTTGAAATAGTGCCTGGCACACATTAAGTGATGTGTAATTTTGGCAACCTTTCATACTGGCTCCTGGTGGGCAAGGGTGGAAGGTAATACCAAGAACAGAATAGCAGATCCACAATTTCTGGCCCCTCAAATCATGTGAACTACCTTTTACCCTTGGTACAAAGCCTGTACTACTCAGCTTTGGGCTGTGGGAGGTAGTGGACAGATCAGAGGCAAAGGGAGACATACAAGACAGGCTGGGGCTCTGGTTCCCTCCAGGACATCCTGCTTGGTGGGGGGGTGACATACCCCTTTCATCTCCAGCCCATCCAGGCTCAAGTGGGCGCCTTCCTGCCCCAGGGGTGCCCATACCTGGTCTCCGGCCTTCAAAGCTCTTCCCACAGCCCCCAACCCCCAACAGCTTCCTTTCCCATGAGGCCACAATCCCACCAGCCCCTGGCTAAGGCCCAGGTTGGGGCCTTTGATCCAGGCTTCAGGGCCAGGAGGCAGGACAGCCAATCTCACCTGGGCAGGCTGCTCTGGGCTCCCAGCAAGCTGGCCCATGAGACCCAGCCCTGAAATACTCCTTGGCAGCTGGTGGGAGGCGGGGCTCCGGCTGCCACATCGCCTCATGAGGCCTAGCCAATAGGAGGCAGCAGCCCTGGCCAGCCCATCTCTGCACAGCCTGGGGTTATTCTCTGTCACTCTGGGTTCCTGGTGGTGGTGGTGCAGCTGCCTAGGCGGAGAGGATGGAGTGAGTGATGAAGGCTGATGAGGAGCCCTTGTTCTCCGGGGAGACACGTGGACTCGGGAGGGGTGGAGGAGGCAAAGAGGCAGAGCAGAGGAGGCCCTCTCTGTGGGAAGTAGGATCTGAGGGCCTCTCACTGGGCAGGTACAGCGGCAGCTTTAGCAGCGTGTCTGTGTACATGTCCTCGCTTGTCTGGCACTAACTCCTGGCGATACCTCTCAAGAGGCACCCCCACCTCCCGTCTCTGGATCACTTGTGGGCTGCTGGGCCACTGTGTAAGTGACCACCTCCCTGAGCACACCAGGGAGGTCCAGGGACAGGCCCCCCTTTTCCTTTCAGTGTAGAAAAATGCTGGGCATTTTGGGATTCATGAGCTATGTGGTCTCCTTTCTTCCCCGACACCACACCAGCCACTGCTGTCAGCCAGCATTTAAATGCCTCACTTCAAGAAGGGCAGGGGGTGGTATGGGGGGTAGGGGGAGGTGGGGAGGAGGGAAAAAAAAAAAAAGGAATAAATCTCTCACTCCAGACCAGGAAGATCCCTGAGGTCCCAAGGCCACTCAGTGAGAGGCAGGTGGCAGCAGGGTCACACTGAGAGGTAATAGGTCTGGGCTGGAAGATCTGATTCTCAGGCTGTGGGCCTGCACTCTCCTGCTGAACTTCCTGGTATGATAATCACAGCAAATACTATGTCCCAAGCACTCTTCTACATTTTAATATCAACTTATTTAATTCTCAAAACTACTTCAGTCCTACGAAGGAGAATAAAACTCCTTACAATGACCTGTAAAACCCATGTGATGGTGTGCCAGCTTCATCTAATTTCATCCCCCTCACCCAGCCCCGTGGGCCTCCTGCATTTCCTCAGGCCTGCCAGGGAAGCCTCCTACCTGAGGACCTTTGTACTAACTGCTCCCCTGGCCTGCTCTTGCCTCAGATATTCTCAAAGCCAGCACCCTCCTCTTACTCAAGTCTTGGCACATGTCACCTTCTTAGAGAGGGCTTCTCAGATGTCACCTCCTCACCATACCTCTGTGTGGTAAATTGCATACCCATCCTCCAAATCCTCTTTAGCCTGTTTTTCTCCAAAGCACCTAATCACTTTTTAAAATGATATGTGAACTTTTAAAAAATGTGATTAAAAAATACATTAAGTACAATTGTCACCATCCCTCTCCAGAAGCTTTCTATCTTCTTAAATTGTATTAAAAAAATTAACCTATTCACAAAATAACTCCCCACAATCACCACACTTACTTCCTGTGTTTCTACGAAACTGACTATTCTTGGAACCACATATCAGGGTAGCACAAATGTGTCATTTTGTGTCTGGCTTATTTCACTTAGTATAATCTCCTCAGAGTCATCTCTGTTGAAGTAGGTGACAAATTTTTTCCTTTTTAAGACTTAATAATAAATGTACCTTTTAAATTGCGTTTGTGTTTTTATTCACCAGCTAGAATGAAAATTGGGCAAGAGCAATGGCCTTCATGGGTTTTGTTCACTGGTACATCCCAAGTCAGGAGACTAGTGCCCGCCCATGGTTGGCACTTGAATGTTACCTGAGTAAAGGTTGAATGCCCGGGCAGGAGTTATCACTCTTCTCATTTTACAGATGAGAAAATGAGCCTCAGAGAAGTTAAACAACTTGCCCAAGATGAGGTTAGAGTTGCTGACAGACTTGCAGTGTGGCTTCAAGTCTGCTTTGGACTGCTGCTCTCTGCTGACATCCTTACTGAAGCTGAAATGAAGCCATCCTGAGGCCTAACCACTAGTGATGGCCTGTGGCTCAAAAGGCATCTGCTTCCCTCGTGGTTCTTTCACTAGACCCAGGCTTCCCCTGTGGCTTCTCTTAAAGGAAAACCTTTGCTTAGAGTTGGCCTCCCCACCCTTGTGGGTGTGCACAGTGTGGGTGTCTGCGCGTGTGTGCGCACGCGCACTCATACACACATGCATGTCTGAGAACACCAGTGTTGAGGGTGCTCCTTCTTCCTGCCCCGCCACAGGGCCTCCCTTCTTGGCCTTCTTGGCCTCCCTTCTCAGCAACCCCAGTCATAGGAAGCCCCTGTCTCTGGAGGCCTCACTCCAGGGGAGACGCAGATGAGTCTCAGGGTCTGATATCATGCTCCATGCTCATTTCAGCCCAAGGGCCTATTCTTCTAGGCTTGGCCATCAGTCTCTTCCAAGAGACCCTGGGGCAGGTGGACTTAGGAGAAGGGACTTCCTTGCCAGTGGGCGCCCTGTGAGGCAAGCTTAGAGCCCCGGGTTTTGGCACACAGCTCCAACTCAGACCTCCCCTTCCCTCAGGATCATCTTCTCCACACCCCTGGCCATCATTGCCTATTTCCTCATCTGGTTCGTGCCTGACTTCTCGCACAGTCCGATGAGTATGCTGTGGTACCTGCTTTTCTATTGCCTCTTTGAGACACTGGTCACGGTGAGTATGGGTACCTCCCAGGGCATCTGGGAGCCAGGGGTAAGGGCAATCCCTGGGGCCTCTAGGGTTGGTGCCCGAAGCCACATCTGTTTGTCCATCATCTGACTGGCCAAGGGCCTCTCTTCCATACCAGTGTTTCCACGTTCCCTACTCAGCTCTCACCATGTTCATCAGCACAGAGCAGAGTGAGCGGGATTCGGCCACTGCATATCGTAAGTCTCCCCCATCCCACTGATCCCTCCCATAGGGAGCCTCCTGCCACACTGTTCCCCTTTCAAGCCCAATTCTCAGCTCTTCTCTTGGGTGTGGTGGTGAAACCATCTTAAAAATAGCAATCCCATTATTGATCTGGTGAGGCCAGAGGGGTGCAGAGACTAACCAGTGGTCAGACATCAAGGCCATGAGTTTAAGGCAAAGTGCCATCTACCCCACTATCCCACAGTTACCCTATCATCCTATTCCCCCCTTCCGCACCCCCCTTACCCACCCCCCCACACCTGTACCTACTGCCATCACCTGGGGCTAGAGCTGGGCTTCTATCCATCCGACTTTCCTCCCTGGGGACCCTCAAGCCATGTGGCTCCTCCAAAGGACCTGCTTTTCCCTGCTCAGGGATGACTGTGGAGGTCCTAGGCACAGTGCTGGGCACAGCAATCCAGGGGCAAATCGTGGGCCAAGCAGCTGTGCCTTGTATCCCGCTCCCCGGTCCTTTTGGAGTGGCCTTGGAAGATGCCAACCGCACACAGAGTGCCCTCTCAATCAAAAAAACGGTAAGCCCTCTGGCAAGGCAAGGATTTGGGGACATGAGGAAAGATCGGGTGGTTTCTTATCCTCAAAATAGTGCTAGTAGCTAGGATTTATTAAATGCTGGGTGTTTGATAGGCAAACCGCTACATGTCCACTTTGCAGATAAAAAAACTGAAGCATAGAGAGGTCAAATAATTTTCCAGAGTAATAGAGCTAATGGGTTGCAGAAATTAGAATCGGGATTATTTGAACTGTGGGCTCTCAGACTCTAAAGATTACCTTCTTAACATTTTTGTCCCTCTGGGATATTGTCCAGCCTAGGGAAGTAGCAACAGGCCTAGGAGTCTTCTCCCATTCCACAGGTAGAGACAGTAAGGCCCCAGAGAAGAAGGGACTGGTCCCTGCTTCTGGGTGTTGGGATGAGATCAGACTGATTCTCTCTCTTTACCTTTGCAGCAAGAGGCATACCTGTGGGCAGCAGGCGCCATTGCCTCCATCTATGTCCTCTGTGCTATCACCCTGATCCTGGGTGTTCGGGAACAGAGAGGTGAGGACCCTTGGGAAGGGATGCAGGCCTTAGCATGGGGTGCTTTGTCTCTCTGCCTGCGTCTTACATTTTGAGAGGGACCTCTGCTTCCTCCTCACTGTCCACTTTGGTCTCCAGAACCCTATGAGACTCAGCAGGCTGGGTCGATGTCCTTCTTTCGGGGTCTCCGGCTGGTCATGACCCACGGCCCATACGTCAAGCTTATTGCCGCCTTCCTCTTCACCTCCCTGGCTTTCATGGTGAGTGGGGGCCTAACATGATCAGCCTGAGGTGAGGGGTGCACGGAGGGTGGGGCTGGCCAAGGACTCCAGATGGGACAAAGTCTGAGGGACAGGTGGAATGGGGTTGGGAGAGCAGAGCTCTGTGGAGTATGTGAAATATCTTAGGGAAGCTTGACTCCAGCCTCACCTCTTCTCTTGTGTTTTCTTCCCCTATCCTACCCCACCCCCAGCTGGTGGAGGGAAACTTCGCCTTGTTTTGCACCTATACCTTGGGCTTCCACAACGAGTTCCAGAATCTGCTCCTGGCCATCATGGTGCGTGTGGGACCTTGAGGGGCGGATAGGGTCTTTAGATAGTCAGGAATGTCTTCTAGACCTGCCCAAGTGGGGGAGGTATCTCAGAATATTTGATTGGAGCTGACTTTCAATTGCTTGGGTTGGCATGTGAAAGAAAGTGTACATATATCAAATCACTATGTTGTCATCCCTTAAAGTCATGCAATGTTGTGTGTCCCTTAGGTCTCAATAACTAGGGAAGGAAGGAGTTTGGGGTTAGATGTTCAAATAGCACAGAAAAAGCAAAGATGGAGGTCAAGAGCTTTGGGACTTCAGGCTCAGTTGCACTCCAAGAAGGCAGGAGATGAGCTTGGGACTAGCTCAGCTCCCCTGCAGAACTGTCAGAGGTGCCCGTCAACCTTTTTGCTGCCCAGATGCTCTCTGGGAGGGCAGGGAGCACCAGGGGCTCTAGGGAGGGCAGAGGGGTTCCCTAACTCTCACCCCTTTTGTCCTCCCATAGCTCTCAGCCACATTGACCATTCCTTTCTGGCAGTGGTTCCTAACCCGGTTTGGCAAGAAGACAGCTGTTTACATTGGCATCTCCGTGAGTGGGACTGAGGGGACAGGGCCTGGGCTGGTTGGGGGTTTCAGTGGGAGCCTCCTGCCTGACTTGTCTTCCTGCACCTGCTCCCCTAGTCAGCAGTGCCGTTTCTCATCCTGGTGGCCCTCATAGAGAGAAACCTGATCATCACATATGTGGTGGCTGTGGCAGCAGGCATCAGTGTAGCAGCTGCCTTCTTACTTCCCTGGTAAGTATACGTAGGCCCACCTGAATGTGTTCCCCAGCACCCCCACACCCCATCTTGGAAGCTTCTTGGGGAGAATTCTGTGGCAGTTCCTCCTGTCAGCCATCCTGTGGTCCCATTCTGGGCACAGGGGGAGGATGGACAGGTCTCCCTTATGGGGTTGTACAGGATGTGGACTGGGCACCCACTTAGGTGGAAAATGGGGCTTAAATCTGGCTGAGCGCTTGCAGGAGACTACTTTATCTTGGAGGAAAGGGCCCTCTTATTCACATGAAAGGGTCCTTGACTTCCTGATGTAAGCCAGGGCCTGAAAACCCCAGAGGGCCACCTCTTGTCACTGACACCTCTGTCCTAATGCGCCAGATGGGTTGTGGGGGCTGGGGTGCTAGGCAGGTGGGTGCTCATGCTGCTCCCACTCTCTGTAGGTCCATGCTGCCTGACGTCATCGATGACTTCCACTTGAAACAGCCCCACTCCGTTGGGACTGAGCCTATCTTCTTCTCCTTCTATGTCTTCTTCACCAAGTTTGCTTCCGGTGTCTCAATGGGTATCTCTACCCTCAGTCTCGAGTGAGTGGGGTGGAGGCCTGGGGCACTGCTGGGTAGGGCCAGACCCCAAGTGTCCCCTCCTCACCTCTCGCCTCCCATTGGCTCCCACAGCTTTGCTGGGTACCAGACCCGTGGCTGCTCCCAGCCGGAACATGTCAAGTTTACATTGAAGATGCTGGTGACCATGACTCCTATAGCCCTCATCCTGCTGGGCCTGCTGCTCTTCAAACTGTACCCCATTGATGAGGAGAAACGGCGGCAGAACAAGAAGGCCCTGCAGGCTCTGAGGTGAGCGGGGCGGAGGGGTGGGGCAGGATCCAGGAGGTAGCACCATCCAGTCTCGGCTCTCAGCCTCCTGTGGCCAAGTCCATCTTCTCCCTGCACGTCTTCCCCATAGCTCCTCTACCCCTTCCCACTGCCAATGCAGAATAATGGCAACTGACATTTCTTCACCGCTGAGTTACACACCAGGCACTGTGCTGAGGGCATTTACATGTATTGGCTAGAAACCTACAATGTGCCAGACATTTTGTGCTAGTGAATGAAACAAAAATCCCTACCCTCAAGGAGTTTCCATCATAGGGAATGTGCATTCATGATTTCTGACAATCTTCAACAGTCCCTGGGTGTTCAACAGTCCCTGGGTGTTCCCTGGCCTATGGATTCCCACTCGACTGATATAGACACTGAGGCTTAGCCAGGAAGAGGGACTGATGTAGACAATGAGGCTTAGCCATCTGCTAGGGGGTAGGGCTGGGTTTGAACCCTGGCATTCTGACTCCAGCACCTGTATTCTTCATGGCTCCCCTGGGGTACAGCTCTTCTGGTAGGGCCCAAGTCCTGCCTTGCAGGAAACCAGAGGACAGGCTGGAGTGAGTCATGCCAGCCCATCACCCAGCTCAGGCCAGAGTGCAGTCCTACGGGCAACACAAACAGCCCAAAGGTCTACCAGCAGTTTCTGAACCAAAAGTAGGCATGTGTAAACCATCTACCTTCTGGCAAGAAAGTAGATCCTATGAGCAACAAGTGGGTGGGGGTGAAGGGTGGGTTAAGGATGCTTCCTCCAACCTGTCTCCTCTGGCTCTTGCAGGGAAGAGGCCAGCAGCTCCGGCTGCTCCGACACAGACTCTACAGAGCTGGCCAGCATCCTCTAGGGTCTTCTGGGTTGCTCAAAGCCACTACACACGGGGCCTGTGTCTCCAGGCCACACAGAGGACTCCGGACCTACTTGCCAGCTCACTGAACAGCTGGTCTCCAGGTGCCAGGAAGGGAGTCCAAGCATGAGCGGCCCAGGACACCTCATGTGCCCAGCAGGAGGAAGGCCATTCATGCTGCCTGCCCTCTGCCCACTCCTGGGGCTGAGCTCTAGGGCTGCTACTGTGACTATGCCAAGGACTGATAGGGCCTAGCCCAGAACACTAATATAGAAACGTTTTATACAGAAACTAATTAATAACTTAATGACCTTGTACATAGTGTTGTATGTATATGTATATGTCTGTGAGCTATTAATGTTATTAATTTTGATAAAAGCTGTTAAACAGAACTGCTTGTTTGTCTTTGCCCTTGCCTACTCACTGAGTCCTTCTGTGCCCACATTTGGATAGTGAGAGGGAGCACTAAGTCTCAGCTGCCCTGGGCAAGGGGCATGTTCCTGGAGGTGTGATAACAGCATCGCTAATATTTACATGTGGAGGCTTTCCAACCACTCAGCTGGTATCCTCATTTAAGCCCTGAAGCTTTCTTGCTAAGTGGGGACTGGCCATTTTCAAGATGATCAAACTATTCCAGCATAGACAGACCACAGGGACAATGGAGACAGGTGAAATCATAAAACCAAAGGTGAATTACCTGGATCCTACCCCAGGTCTGTGGACTCCAATGCCTTAACCTCTACTCTCCACTCCCCTGTGCCGGAGAATGACTGACCACATGGTCGAAGACCTTGCTCTGCCCAGTCCCACACGCTGTGCTTCCCGCCCTGACATGAGAGGCTGGTTGTGGTGGAGCCTGGTGGGGTTCCGGAACCCTGTAACTCTTTCCCCACAGCTGTAATCGACAGTGCTAGAGAATGTACCTGGGTGTGCGTGTGTATGTGTGTGGTGGTGAGGAGAAGTCTCACACAAGTGTGCTGGTGAGAAACCACCCACCTCTGGACCAGAAACAGGTCATGGAGAAGACCTAGTTTGTAGCTTTTGCCTATTTCCATGGTGTAAATATTCCCACCATAGCAAATTCCAAGTTCCCAGGGATTGTACTACCTTGCAAAATTCCTGAAAATTGAACAACAAGCTCTTGCAAGCTGGTAGAAGTTTGCCCCAGCCCATCAATGGCTTTCACACACTTAGGCCAGGTTCCAGATTTTAGGGGACCAAAGCTGGCAGTGTCAAGGCTACAAGTTCAGGATCTTTATTTTATAGATAGATAAATGAGGCCCAGAGAAGGGACAAGGACTTAGACCATTTAGGCATGGTTTTTACTTTGGGTGTGGGGCTCCCTTTTGGAGGAGGAGGCTCCATTTTCGCTGATGAAGTTCTGCTCAGCAGTTTTTTATTTTTATTTTTTTTGAAGTAGCATTGGTTTACAGCACTGTGTTGTTTCACTGCATTAAGTTTCATTACAGATTCATACCTATACAAATACCACAACCACACCCACCAGCTATAGTGTGGTTATCATCTACCAACATCCAGTTGAATCCCTCTACCCCTTCTCCCCACCCCCAGTCCCTTTCCCCCTGGTAACTACCATTCTTCTATCAGAATCTAAGGGTTTGCATTTGTTTATTTGCTTTATATCTTTGGATTCCACACAGGAGAGACTTTGATACCTTCCTTTTGTGTTATGTTTGGATTCCATTTTCTTTTTTGTGTTTGTTTCTTCAATGGATTTTTGTTTGGAGGTTACCATGTGGTTCATGAGATTCTATGTTTATAATATATTTTAAATTGATCTCAAGTTAATATTGAGTTAACAGTCCACATTTTTACTCTCGACCCCTCATTTTATGTTTTTGATGTTCTTTGATGTGTCCCTTGACTAATCACTATAGACCTAATTTACAATGCTGTATATGTTTTATAGGTATAGGTTCACATCCTACAAGTGTATATTAACAGACCACATCCACCACCTAAGAAAGCCCCAGTAATCCTCCACCATAGTCCATTGGCCTCCCTCTCCCTTTTGCTCTGATCCCCCATCTTCCCCTTCTGGTAGCCTCAGGTTATGTCCCCCTCTACTTCAATCAATAATGACCAAATCTCATCTTTAAAAAAAGAATTATTGGGCCTTCCCTGGTGGCGCAGCAGTTGAGCGCTGGGCTGTGAAGCTGCCCGCAGCCTCTGCAGCGCTGGTTCGATCCCCAGCCTCCGGCGAGGGTCCCACATGGCGCGACAGACTTCTCCTGTTGTGCCCGCTGCTCCCCTCAGCAGTGTATTTCATCAGTCTGCCTGTTCTGCTCCCCACTCTGCTCTGGTGAATTCTCTCATCCTCCCGCGCTTCTGACTGTACCCAGTGCTTGTATAAATAAATAAATAAATCTTAAAAAAAATAATTATTTTTAATTTCCTAAACCACTCAAGCTTACTTCTTTCCCAGCCCTACAATTAACTTCTCAGATCTTATCTTCTCTTGCCTGGAAGATTACACCAGCATCCTCACTGGTCTCCTTGTCTTTGGTTCAATCTCACATTCCTTCTGCAAACTACCCAAGATAACCTAGAAGTTCTCCTGTTCGGAAATCCTCTGTGAGTTCTCATTGCCTTCAAGTGCGAGTCCAACCTCCCCATCCCCAGATCTAGATATAGACCTTTTTTTGCAGGCCACCTACCTGGCCCCGAAGTATACCTCTGGCATCAGGTCCACCAGGCAGACACTGGTCTAGTGTGTCCTCGCTCGCTCCAGCGTGCCTCTCAAAAACTATTCTTGCCCCTGCCCCTTGGGGCACTGAGAGGATGTGGAAGGGGTAAGAGCTGAATGAATGTGAGCTATGACTGGAGAGGGCTTGTGAGTCAGACTCAGTGCCCACTGACCCATCATGATGCTTCTGTTTCTAGTCTGTTTCCCCTATCTGTACAATGGGGATTTGGAATTGAAAACTCTTGCCTCTTTCTTCTCAAAGACCCCCTCCTGACTTTTTGGAGAATGATTTTGGAGGTGAAGAAATAGAAAAGTGATCTGGGATCATTTTGAGTCATTGGCTACTCTAGGTATTTCCCGGAGAGTTCATACTTCTCATCCTTTGGGCAAAGTGTCATCTTAACTTCCTCTGTGTTTGGAATCTAGCATTACCACAACAAATTCTACCTCTCCCTCGTCAGTCCTCAGCCAAGCCAATCTAAAGACCACCGTGGATGGGACCAGGTGTGGCTTGGGCTCCATCTGCTGGAAGAATGAGGCAACACCTTTCAATAGTGCACCGAAGAAAGTCCAGATCTGACTCTGTGACACTGACTAGCCATTTACCAAACACTTATAAAGAGACTACTATGTGCTATGTACAGGCAAAGCTCTGGGGATAGAGTGGTGAACAGATTATAGCTTCTATTCGTGGTAGGGACCAATAACAAATAGACATAAATAAGACAATTTCAAATTGTAATAAACATGAAAGAAATGAGCAGGATGACGTAATAGAGGGAACTGGTATGGAGGCTATTTTAAATCAGATGAGCAGGAAAGAATCTTCTGAAAAACTGACGTTGGACTTGCATCACGGAGAATTAGTCAGACATCCAAGGGAATGGGAGAAAGCATTGCAAGTAGAAGAGAGAGTTAATGCAAAGACTCTGAGGTAGGAAAGAGCCTGATATATTTGAAATACTGAAGGAAACAGTGTGTCCAGAGTGAGGTGAACTAGAGGGCTGATGGAATGAGATGGATTTGTTGAGGTATACGGGAACTAGGTGATCCAGGCTTTGCAGCCCATAGTGAGAGTGCAAGTTTGAGAGCAGCCAGCAGGCTTTGAAAATTTTAAGCAGAAAAATGATTTGCATTTTTAAAAAATGTTAGGTGGAGAATTGACTAGAGAGGAGTAAACACTACGTGCAAGACAGCACTGGTTGGCTATTCCTGGTAGTGTTGGCTGTTCAGGCTGGGTGATAGCCTCACCCTTCTAAGAATGTCCAAGTTTCAGTCTACAAGGTGTGGGTCTGATAACCCAGCTCTTCAAATCAGATGAGATATGAGTGAGGCTACTAATGCATTATGACCCCAGGCGAAGATAGAGGATAGTGTTGTTTATTCAACAAATACTATGTGAATATCTACTGTGTGCCAGGTCCTGTATTAAGAGCGGGGGATACAATAGAGCTCTGTCTTGGGGGTGGGGTGTGTGTGTGTGTGTGTGTGTGTTTTGTTTTGTTTTTACCTGGAAAAACTGATGTTAACTGAGTGAATGTCCTGAATGTTACAAGGAAGAGCAACAAGCTATGAAAGTGTGTGACAGATTCAGAGATGGTTGAGAGTTCCTGAGGTCTGAGAAATGAGTAGTAGTTAGCAGGCAAAGAGAAAAGGAGAGCGAGATAGTCTTTCACCGAGTAGGAACAGTTACGTGCCAAAGTTCAATGCCATGGTCAAGGAGCAGAGATAGACCAATGTGTCTGAAACAAAAAGACTAAGGGGAGGGGAAGAAAGATGAGACTGAGTACGAAAGCAGAGGCAAATGGCACAGGGCTTGGTGGGCCATATTCCACATTTTGGTCATTATCTTAATGGCAGAGAGATGCCACTGACAATTTTTTTTTTTAAGATTTATTTATTTATTTACACAAGCACTGGGTACAGTCAGAAGCGCGGGAGGGTGAGAGAATTCACCAGAGCCAGAGCGGGGAGCAGAGCAGGCAGAAGGACCGAAGTACACTGCTGAGGGGAGCAGCGGGCAGCAGGAGAGGTCTGCGCTCCATGTGGGACCCTCCTCCGGTGGCTGGGGAGCAGCCGGGGATCGAACCGGCGCTGCAGAGGCTGCGGGCAGCTTTGCAACCCAGTGCTCAACCACCGCGCCACCAGGGAGGCCCGCCACTGACAAATTTTAAGCGAGGGAATCATATGATAGATCAAGAATTTAGGAAGATCATATCATGCTTTGTGGAGAAAGGATTGAAGGAAAGTGGAAGCAGGCTGACTAATAAAGAAGTTAGTTTTTTAATGCTCCTACGTAATAAGAAGTACCAGACTGGAGTGGTAGCGGTGGAAATGGAAAGAAGAGCCCAGATTTGGCAGCTGATTGGTCTGGATAACTGAGAGAGAGGTTGAGGGAAAGGGAGAGAGAGAAAAATAAAGGGGATACCTACATTTCTAACTTACAGGAAACAGAGTAGCATCTCTATTTAGAGAGCACTGGAATAGGAGTAAGTTTTAGGGACAAAATAACTCATTTGTCACTTGTTTGTGTCATTTTTATATAAAAAAGGAAGAAATCATTCTTAGATATTCCACTAAATCAGCAACAAGGATGTACACTATCACCACTGTTATTATATAGCATTTAATTGCAGTTATTAGCCAATAAAACTAAATAAGAAAAACACTTGGAAA